CTTTTGTGAACAGATAATGTGCCTAGCCAGAGGCAGTGGCTCTGAACCTGACACTTGGACTCTCAAACCCAAGCTGCTCTTAAGAGGGTCAGGTGGGCAGACCTGGTCCCCAGGGAGAGCATCTTGGGCCACAAGAGGGAACTCTAGTCTGTACAAACAGTATGGCATGCTCTGGGCTAGTTGCTTAGGGACAAACCTAGAACTTCCTCTCCCAGGCCTGGTTTCCAAAGAAACCAGGTGAGGATGCCTTCTGAGACCACCTTGAAAGGCAAAGAAAGGGATGGCTCTCAAGTCTCCAGGGATTTGCTTCTGATATTTCATGCTATTCATAAGGACCACACACGTCCACCTACCCTGGAGGGTCTCCTGATCCAGGTACTGATCCTTTTCATTCTCCTCATTGTTGCCTGAAACTTCCCACACACTTCTAGCCAGGTTTCTATACCTGGAAAAGTCCTTTGGCCTCATCTGGCTTTCATACTCCTATTCTACCCTCAAAACCCACCTTCTTAAACCTTTTTTTATTTCTCTCCCCTCCTGTCACAGTTATTTTAAGCCCTAATTGATGGAATCCTTGTCATGCTAAATAATGGGACTCCTTTGGTCTGATGTGATTGTTGAAAGTGTTTTCAACTTTTCTTTTTTTTCCTCTGAGTTTTCAGATTGAACCTTGACATACAGCAGGTATTCAGTGGACAGCTAGAAGAAGAGACACCCTCAAAAGATATCAGGCACCATGTGTTGAGAGGTGGGAATTGCTGTTGCTTAGCGACCAGCAGCCTGTGGCTACAGGAAGGTCTCATCCCTTCCACCCACCAGTCAGCCCCCCCCCCCGTCTTCTCTCCAGGCCACACTAAGCCTCTCTGGAGGTTTCTGTCTAGGGTACCATCTAGATGCCCCACGGGCACTAGCATGGAGAAGGGGTTAAGGCACCCATCACCACAGTGGGCTGCTGAGCAAGGCTTCTAGCATCAAATGCAGGAGACATGTGGATGACTGCAGTGACAGGGAGAGGAGCAAGAACTTTGTCACGGGCTGCACATGAGGTCTGCTGGCTCTGCAAACATGATCAATCACCCTCTGCTCTATACAAACCGGCTTCAATGCCCCTTCCCAACAAAGAAAATAGAAGCCCAGAGAAGGTAGCATTTTGCCCAAGGTAGCACAGCCCATGAAGGTGAAGACAAATCCATGAACTCATGGAGAATGTCATTTTGTGGTTACTCCATGGCAAGATGGGCTCCTCCAGGCCTGTCAGAGAACTGCTAAGTGTCCAAGCTCCAGAGTGCATGGGAGATTTGGGGGAAGAGAAAGAGCATTTTGGGGGGGGAAGAGCCCTGATAACCCTCCCCCCAGGGCAGCCATACACAGCTATAACCATGATAGCATTGGCCTGGCAGTAGACCCTGTTGCCTGTGGACTGGAGTTTGGGATCTGCTAATATTTGGTTCTGGGCAAATTTCTTGACTAACAGAGGCATTTGTCCAAATGGGTCGGGTCTGGACCTTGAAGGACTGCCATGCAGATGGAATAGGACCATAGGTGGGAAGCCCCTTGTCCTCAGCCAGATGAGAGGATACCTCACTGCCTTGCCACTAAGGTTCTGACATGCCTGTCCACTGTGTGTGTGCTGACAGGTCCCCTTTGTGTGTGTTTTTGTAACCCTGATGGACAAATGTGAGCACTGTGTCTCCTGCTTGCGGGGCCATGAGCTTTGAGTGTGTGCGTTTTGTTGTATGTGGATGTCACAAGCCCCTCTTCAGTCCTAGCTGGAGGCTGTTCTGAGCAGCTAGGGAGGGCATTCCAGGCAGCTCCCCACATGTTCCCTGATCCCAGCACCCTCAGCAGCCCCGGGGCCCCAGCCTATCCATGTCCCTTCCTTCCTTTGCTGGTGCCAACATGCTCAGTAGTGGTGGTGGTGGGGTACAGGAAGGGGGAGAGGAAGGAGGAGGCCCGGGTGGATGCCCCAGGCTTGGCAGCTCCTGGCTTGGTGCCGGGAGGGACTCTGAGTTTGTTTGAGCACTAGGGGGCAATGTGTCTGTTCGAAAGAAACTTAGAAGCCAGCTCCAGAGGTGTGAGCACACACAGGCCCACGTACAGGGGTGTCCACACCGTAGAGGTGCACACTCCGGTGCACAGAGGGCCCAGGCACAAGTGAGTGTCCGCAGCAGGACAAAAGACGTGCAAGGGCAGAGGTGAGGGCACTCAAGCAGAGAAGGCAAATGCAGAGACAAATGGCTGCACGCAGAGAGACGGACAGTGGTGGCGGGGGAGCGCCCGCGCGAGCACACACACCCACCCACCCACCCACACACACCCACCCACCCACCCACCCCCCCCACACACACACCACAGTGACCTCCAAAGATGCATGCACCTGCCATATACAGAAGCACACAGATACCTGCTAGCCTCCCTGAGCAAACACACAAATGCAGGCATCGTCCATGTATAGTGTTAAGGAAAGGGTCGTCTCCCTCCAAACCCTCTCTTCAGACACTCACACACCCGGAAAGGGCCTGGGGAAAACATGTCTGCATCTTCAGTGCAAACAGGTCAGATGTGGGGACCCCCACCCAAAGAATGTGAAGTAATACCCCAACACCTCAAGCCAGTGCCCCTCGGAGAGCAGGCCTATGTTAACTTCATTCCAGCTCCTGCCTCCCCGCCTAGTACACACAGTTCCTTACACACCCCCATCCCCTCCTGACATGATGCACAAGGTATTCCAGCCCTACCTCCCGAGAAGGCTACTGTCCCCAAGATGGACACAAGGTCCGGTGTCACAGCTTTGCTACCTGAGATCTATCCCTGAATTCTCCCCCTTTCTTCCCGGGAGGTCCAAGGGCCCCTGGCTGTGGGCCTGGAGGGTCACTTGCTGGTGTCTAACCTGGTCCTTATTCCTTTGTGTCTACACAGGCTAGGCCCCTGTCTTCTCCCTGGCTCTCCTTCCCTGTCACTTTGCTAAGTAATAATTTCCATGTCCAATTCCATTTCTTTTCTAGTTCTGAAACCTCTAAGCTATCAGCAAGAGGATAGTTCGCATGAAAACTAATTACACAAAATCAATATTTAATCACAGACCAACAACCTGATCCTGCAGAAAAATCCTTTTAAAACTCCACCACCCTGCACAAATACTTCTTCCCAATGCTTATTTATGGGCCCCGTTTTTTTTTTGGTGGGGGTAATTTTCATTTTTAATTTCAAAAGAAAAAAATCTGAAGACTGCAGGAAAGGCCTGAGCTTGTTGCAGCTTCCTGATCTTTATTTCGTGTGTGTGTGTGTGTGTGTGTGTGTGTGTGTGTGTGTGTGTGTGATGGAGTGGGGGTGGGGTGTGCGTGTGGGGGTGGGGATGAGTGTGTGTTGAGTGAAGGAGAGGGGTGGTGAGTGTGGGGGGGTTGAAGGAGTGGGGGTGGGGGATGAGCGTGTGCTGTGTGTGTGTGTGTGTGTATGTGTGTGTGTGAGGGGGGTGACTGCTTCAGAAGTCCCTTGGGGCTTCCTGTCCCCCCCACTTCCTAAATCGAGCCCATTTTCCAACGTTCCTTTGCTCAGAAGCTCCGGGGAGTAATGAATCCGCCGCGAATGACACGGTAACTTTTAACTCATGCCCGCGACAGTGCAGTGCTTAATCTGAGGTTTTTAAATAAAAAAGGGCTCTGGGTTGGTTTTATTATAACGTTTATTTCATTTCAGATTTCATGCGTAATTTAGCAAATGCTTGACAGACTTGGGCGATAAACACTTTCTTTTGTGGGGGGGGGAAAGGCATTTTTATACACCATGCTTAATTTTATTTAGATTTAATAGCGATATCAGGGCACTTCAGCGAAAGTTTTTTTTTCTTTTCCCCCCTCCTCTTTTAAGAACCCTGGCCTGCCAGCAAAATTGCCTCGCTTTATTTCATGACAAGGAAATTTAAAGGCCTTTCTGCCCCTCCTCCCCTACTTACACTTTGAGAGGAAAACACGCACAGGCGTGCTGGCGCGGGGGTGCGCGCGCGTCCACATAATAAACACCTCCACCTCCCATCACCTCCAACTTCCAACTTTTAATTGCAAGACAGATTTCAGCCTCCGTGAGGATCAGGAAGATTTAAACATTTAGACTAAGATTATTGGGATGAATATTTCATAGGAAACAGGGCAGATATTAAATTACTGCTATTGATTTTAGTATCACAATCCAATTCCGTTCTTTGACCTCTTCAGTTTAATTGATCTCTTAAGGAGTCCAACTTCGCGCCCTCCAGGGCCTGGGCCTGCGCGTCTGTGGCCGCCGCAAGGTGTCGGAGCCCCCTGTGTGCGCTCTGCGCGTCGCTCTTCTCGGGGTTCCGCATTGTTTCGCCTCGCTGTTCCCGCGCCGGGCTCACCCAAAGTGTCCGAGTGTGCGTGGCTTCTTCCCGGTGGAGCCAGAGGCAGAGAACCGGAAGCCGCGGACGGTAGGAGACTCGGGAAGGAGCAAGCCAGTCCCGGCTCCCGGAGACAACCTCACTTCGTGTTTCCCCTCGGCGATCACATCAGGAACTTCCCAGGGCCAGCTCCCCGGGGCGCCGCCCCGGGCTGCAGCACAGGCGACACTTAGCGACTTTCCCTGGCGAGTCCCGGGGCTCTGCCAGGCGACCCCATTGTCTGTGCGCCCCGCACAGCTCACCGCCCACCTCCCCGCCCCCTGCCCACCCGGCAGGTCGCGCTGGCTCCAGTTGGGGGTGGGGGAGTTGGGAACACTGTGAATGGGAAGGGGCGGACAAAGCCCGGCTCCCGCCGTAGTCCTCTGCTCGCGCCCTCCCCAGCCGGGGGCACCCAGGGCGCACCCCCATCGCCGTAGGCTGGACCCGGAGTAGCGCGGGTCGGTGGCCAGGCCTGCGCAGCCGGGACCCGGGACCACCTTAAGAGCGAGCCCCGCCTCCGGGCCCGCTCGGGCGGCGCTGATTGGTGCAGAGGTAATGGCTGGAATGGATTGCTGAAACGCAAAACTTGTTGCTGCTTCTCCCGGCGCCGGCTAGAGGCAGACGCGGAGCGGGAGCCCGGACCTCGTAACGCCCCGCCCGCCCCGCTCGCCCGTGCGGCCCCTTCCCGGGTCCGAGGGGACCCGCGGAGCGCGGAGGCGGGAACCGCAGCCTCGGAGCCACCGGCCGCACGCCTCCCCTCCCGCGCGCGGCCCGAGACGTCCGCGAACTCGCGCGGCGACTAGCGGACGAGCCCGAGCCGCGGAGCCGCGCGTCTCCCGCAGCCTGCGCTCCCGCTCCGGCGCCCGCATCTTCTGCTGCGGGGCCAGCACCGGCGATGACGAGAGGAGCCTCCTGTCTTCCGAGCCGCTGAAGCATTCGCCGCCGATCGCCCGGAGGTGCGGGAACCCGTGCGGCCTGGGCGCGGGGACTCGGGGCAGGGGAGGGACCTAGGGGCTCTCCTACGGCCCCAGCCACCGCTCGGCGGACTCCAGAAGGTGATCATTCTGTTCTCCCGCTCCTTTCCCTCCCACCACTTAACTTTTTGTCTCAGCTAGTCGACCGCTAGGTCTCCTCTCCGCATACCCACCCGCGGCTGTGCCATCCGCTCGGGGCATGGGCCCCCCGACAAGGCTCCAGGAGGCGCCGCGGCCTCTCAAGACGTGAGAGGCCGGCTTGGGTAGATTCCGAGGTTCCGGAGAGCAGCGGAGAGCTGCCAGCCGGCGCCCGCGCGCCCGGCCGGGTGGCGGTGAGCGCTGCGCCCTGCGCGGTGCAGAACGTCCCGGAGCGCCGGAGCCGCGGCTGAAGCGAGTAGCTGGCCCGAGGAGCACCGCGGAGCAGGCTGTCATGCCCTATTGATCATCCCCTCCCCCGCCAAGTATGTTTGGGCTGGACCAGTTCGAGCCCCAGATCAACAGCCGGCACGCTGGCCAGGGCGAGGGGAACTTTAACGAAGCCGGACTGAGCATGAACGCCCACTTTAAGGCGCCTGCTTTCCACGCCGGGCCCCCTCCTGGCCCTGTGGACCCTGCCATAAGCGCTCTGGGTGAACCCCCGATCTTGGGTTTGAACATGGAGCCCTACGGCTTCCACGCGCGCAGCCACTCCGACCTGCACGCCGGGGGGCTGCAGACACAGCCTGTGCATGGCTTCTTCGGTGGCCAACAGCCTCACCACAGCCACCCCGGAGGCCACCACCCGCACCAGCATCACCCTCATTTCGGGGGCAACTTCGGTGGTCCGGACCCAGGTGCCTCGTGTCTGCACGGGGGCCGGCTGCTTGGCTACGGAGGTGCAGCGGGCGGTCTGAGCAGCCAGCAGCCCTTCGCAGAGAGTTATGAGCACATGGCGGAGAGCCAGGGGCCGGAGGGCTTCGGCCCGCAGCGGCCAGGAAACCTTCCGGACTTCCATAGTTCGGGCACCTCAGGGCACGCGGTGCCTGCCCCGTGCCTGCCGCTGGACCAGAGCCCTAACCGGGCTGCCTCTTTCCACGGCCTGCCCGCCTCCAGCGGCTCGGATTCTCACAGTCTGGAGCCTCGGAGGGTGACGAACCAAGGAGCTGTAGACTCGCTGGAATACAGTTACCCGGGCGAGCCGCCCTCAGGACATTTTGACATGTTTTCGCCCTCTGACTCCGAAGGGCAGCTGCCACATTATGCGGCGGGTCGCCAGGTTCCCGGGGGCGCTTTCCCGGGTGCTTCGGCCATGCCCAGAGCCGCAGGCATGGTGGGTTTGTCCAAAATGCACGGCCAGCCACCTCAGCCACCGCCACAACAGCAGCAACCTCAGCACGGAGTGTTCTTCGAGAGGTTTGGCGGGACCCGAAAGATGCCTGTGGGTCTGGAGCCTGCAGTGGGCTCCCGGCACCCGTTAATGCAGCCTCCCCAGCAGGGCCCACCACCCCCGCAACAACAGCCCCCGCAGCAGCAGCCGCCACCACCTGGGCTTCTGGTCCGACAGAATTCTTGCCCTCCTGCTCTCCCGCGGCCCCAGCAGGGCGAGGCTGGCACACCAAGCGGCGGCCTGCAGGATGGGGGCCCCATGCTGCCCAGCCAGCACGCACAGTTCGAGTACCCCATCCACCGGCTAGAGAACCGGAGCATGCACCCGTATTCTGAGCCTGTTTTCAGCATGCAGCACCCCCCTCCTCAGCAGGCACCCAACCAGAGGCTGCAGCATTTCGACGCGCCCCCCTACATGAACGTGGCCAAGAGGCCGCGCTTCGACTTTCCGGGCAGCGCAGGCGTGGACCGTTGCGCCTCGTGGAATGGCAGCATGCATAACGGCGCCCTGGACAACCAACTCTCTCCCTCTGCCTACCCAGGCCTCCCAGGCGAGTTCACACCGCCTGTGCCGGACAGCTTCCCCTCAGGACCGCCCTTGCAGCACCCGGGTCCGGACCATCAGTCTCTGCAGCAGCAGCAGCAGCAGCAACAGCAGCAGCAGCAGCAGCAACAACAACAGCAGCAACAGCAACAGCAACAGCAACGCCAGAATGCGGCCCTCATAATTAAACAGATGGCGTCTCGGAACCAGCAGCAGCGGTTACGACAGCCCAACCTGGCCCAGCTAGGCCATCCCGGGGACGTGGGCCAGGGCGGCCTGGTCCATGGAGGTTCGGTGAGCGGTTTGGCCCAGACGAACTTTGAACGCGAAGGCAGCAGCGCGGGTGCGGGGCGCCTGGGCGGCTTCGAGCAGCAGGCACCCCACCTGGCGCAGGAGAGCGCGTGGTTCCAGGGTCCACACCCGCCCGGAGATCTGCTGCCCCGGAGGATGGGAGGTGCTGGGTTGCCGGCAGACTGTGGCCCGCACGACCCTGGCCTGGCACCTCCCCCTGCTCCGGGTGGCTCAGGGGTGCTATTTCGAGGCTCTCTGCAGGAGCCTCTGAGGATGCCGGGGGAAGGCCACGTGCCCTCGCTGGCTTCGCCGGGGCTGCAGTTTGGGGGCAGCTTGGCCAGCCTAGGCCAGTTGCAGTCGCCTGGGGCCGGTGTGGGGCTGCCCAACGCTCCGTCGGAGCGGCGGCCCCCGCCTCCGGACTTCCCTGCGCCAGCTCTCGGGGGCCAGCCCGGTTTTCCATTTGGCTCAGGGAGCCGGCAGGCCACTCCGCACAGCGCTCCAGGCGTGAACTCGCCCCCGAGTGCGGGCTCGGGTAGCGGCAGCTCGGGCGCTGGCGGGGGAGCTTACCCGCCGCAGCCGGATTTCCAGCCCAGCCAGCGCAGCTCGGCCAGTAAACTGGGCGCTCTGTCGTTGGGGTCCTTCAACAAGCCCAGCTCCAAGGACAACCTGTTTGGCCAGAGCTGCCTGGCTGCGCTCTCCACCGCTTGCCAGAACATGATCGCCAGCCTGGGTGCCCCCAACCTCAACGTGACTTTCAATAAGAAGAACCCACCCGAGGGGAAGAGGAAACTGAGCCAGAACGAGCCCGATAGCGCGGCCGCAGCCGGCAACCCGGGCTCGGATTACTTCCCCGGAGGGACTACTGGGGCCCCTGGGCCCGGAGGCCCTTCCGCGGCCGGTGGTGGCGGTTCCAAATCCTCAGGACCGCCTAACCCACCCATCCAGGGGGATGGCACCAGTCTCTCCCCCAATTATACCCTGGAATCAACATCGGGGAACGATGGCAAGCCTGTCCCCGGGGGCGGTGGCCGGGGAAGGGGACGCAGAAAAAGGGACAGTGGTCACGTGAGCCCCGGGAACTTCTTCGACAAGTACTCTGCAGCTCCTGACAGTGGGGGAGCACCAGGGGTGAGCCCTGGGCAGCAGCAGGCTTCTAGCTCGGCTGCTGGGGGAAGCTCAGTGAACGAGGCCCGCGGGCCCACGCCCCACGAGAAGGCCCTCACGTCACCTTCTTGGGGAAAGGGAGCCGAGTTGCTCCTTGGGGACCAGCCGGACCTCATGGCGTCCCTGGACAGCACAGCCAAATCGGATGGTAGTTCCCCGCACGTGGGTGAGTTCGCCTCTGATGAGGTGAGCACAAGTTATGCGAACGAGGATGAAGTGTCCTCCAGTTCTGACAACACTACAGCCCTGGCCAAAGCCAGCCGAAGCCCCCTGGTGACCAGCTCACCCAAACTCCCTCCTCGAGGGGTGGGTGAACACGCACCGAAGACCCCTGCGCTCGGCCTGGGTATCCTGTCTACCTCTACCTCGACCCCTGACAGCTATGGTGGGGGTGTGGGCACCGGCCATCCTGGCACTCCAGGCTTGGAGCAGGTCCGGACCCCAACAAGCAGCAGCGCTGCGCCGCCCCCCGATGAGATCCATCCCCTGGAGATCCTCCAGGCCCAGATCCAGCTGCAGAGACAGCAGTTCAGCATCTCGGAGGACCAGCCCCTGGGGCTCAAGGGTGGCAAAAAGGTTGAGTGTGCCGTAGGGGCCTCAGGAGCACAGAATGGTGACAGCGAACTGGGCAGCTGCTGCTCCGAGGCCGTCAAGAGCGCCATGAGCACCATCGACCTGGATTCTCTGATGGCAGAACACAGCACCACCTGGTACATGCCCGCTGACAAGGCCCTGGTGGACGGTGGAGATGAGGACAAGACGCTGGCGCCCTGGGAGAAGGCCAAGCCCCAGAACCCCAACAACAAAGAAGGTATATGTGTAACTGTCTTCCTTGTTTTCCGGTGCCAGCCCCAGTGTAGGTGGGTCTTCATCTCCACAGACCCAGCCACCCTCTCTGGCTGCACCCTGCTGGGCTGTCAGATAGATTTTGTTTTTCCTGGTGGCAAGAATTTAGATTTCCCCTCTGGAGGATCATCGGTAGTTATGCCTTCTACCTCTCGATTTTAGCTGAGTTTTTCAGGGTCCAGACCTCCCTGGACCCCGTTTCACACTAAGACTCAGCCTTCAGCCCCCCTGCTTCAGTGTTCTGGGTCCCCTCTCTGGCAGGACACTTGGAAGGTTGTGTCGCCCCACCCTTTCCTCCCTAGCCTTCAGCAGGAGTTGGCTTAGGTGGCAATACTTTAGCAAAGTCCCCGCCCTGGTGTGAGCAGCGTCACTCGGAGGCCAGGCCTCATTGGACATTTGTTGTTTTAGAGAATAGCTCTCACCTGGGGATCTGCCAGGGTTACAGGCAACCGCCACCATCCAGGTGTACGATCTTGACGTTGGGCACGAGGGCTGAGGCTGGATTCCGCCTGGCAGCCACCACACTATTCCTTCAGGACATCATTTGTGTTTGGGGACATGACTATGTGTTTGTAACACACAAAGGACCCCCGAATGTCACTATCTCACTTGGCGTTGGTGGCAGATGTCCAGTCCCAGGTCTCATTTGCACTCTGAATATCCCTTCCTTTCCCACCAGGCCTGGAGGCCTTTAAGGTGTGAGGACAGGGCCAAGAGTCCGAGGATCTTAAATCTAAAGATGAGTAGGCTGCAGTGAGTTTCAATTTTATTTGAATGGGGCTTTAAAATTTTCTTCTTTATAAAAACACTAGACAGTAGCCTTTTAAAATTAGTAACATTGTTTCGCCTTCTTTCCCCACTTCTAAATTCTCGTTGGTTTCACCGAGTTTTGCTGGACAGAATATTATCATGGGGCCCGTGGTGTGGCTAGTAAATTTAAGTCTTTCTTTTAAAAATGTACCCTTGATTGCTACTTTCCGTTTTTCTGCTCTCTGCTGAGCCCTCCCATAGCCTACTGTGTCTTGAGCATGGATCTGGGGAGGGTAGGTTGTAGGAGAGTATGACAGGCTCCCTTTGGGGAGGAAGGTGCTGGCTGGGGGGTGTTGGAACTCCATCTGGGTAGTCTTCCTTAGGTTTCTGGTTCACGAGTGTGGCCTGGCTGCTTTTCTCTTTGTTCCTCCTTACTGCCCAGCCCGGGATGCCCAGACGCACGCTCTCATTTGAAGCCGGGTGTTTAGCATGCACAGCAGACACCAAGCCCGGCATCAGCATTCTACAGACTACTCCCAGGCAAGGCCAGAAATTGGTTAGTTTGGGACCCTCCGCTCCCCCTGCTCCAGCTTTTAAAATGGAGTTGGACACAGTTTCCTGCTGTCCCCTTATTTTCTTGTGTCTAACATCTCGATCTAGCCCGATCGATAGTCAGTCAGCACAGAACTCAGTGCTGTCACTTCTCCTGGTCCAGCCTCCCCCCCCCCAGTAATTAAAAACATGTTAGCCAAAACAGGATGAGAAAAGTTTTTACAAATTATAGACAACTAAAAAGGAAAACCGGTTAGTATTTCTCCTTCCAGTCTTTAGAAGGACCCTACTAGGTGGAGAAGTATTGGGGTTTTAATGGTTTTTTTTTCTTTAATGTATCTTCTCATCTTATCCTCAGTGGGAGAGGCGCAGGCTGCAAGTACTGAAATGTCAGCACAGATTTTTTTTAGCTTGTTTCAGTGTCCCGGCACTACACATATATGGAAACATGTGCCAGTTGCTTCTGGGTTGATTCCCCCTGTAAACTGGAGGGAAGCTCACCTGCCTGTGAGGAGACTTCCTCAGGACCCAAAGGGCTGGCTGTGTCCTAAGCCTGGTGGGGGGTACCCACTTGACCTCCATTGTTCCCCACTCTGATATAGAAGGCTAGTCCCCTGGATAGCTCAATGCACTGCATGGACGACTCCCCAACTCTCTCCCTTACGGGTAGTAAATAAAGATGATTAAACTTTTCATTATGATAACAACTCACAGTTCCATCTGTATAGGTCATACAAATAAATGCACACAGCTTTCTGTCAGCCTCTGAGAGCTCTGGCTGAAAACCAGCCAGAAGAGCCGCTTTGGAATAAGTCAGGGGAGGGGGGAAGGAAAATGGTCCTTTGCTTAAAAGTCCCACAGTCCCGTTAGCTGGATCGGGATATCCAGTGAGGCTGATGGGCCTTAAACTTCCAGCTCAGAAAGTGCTCCCCTCCACTGTCCTCCCAGGCAAAGGCCATTTCTGTAATGATATTTTATTTTGACTCGCTGTAAAACATGCCAGTACTAATGTGATTAAATATTAACTCCATTTCTGAAATTCTCTGCTCAGATGACAGAATGCTTGCTAGTCAGTGTTTTACAAAGCGCTCCCTGCTGGAAGGAGAAGAACAGCCACGGGGATGTGCCTGGCTCGTTCTTTGGGCTGTGGATGGTCCGTGGGAGAGAAAGGAAGCTGACTGTCCCATTGCAGTTCCCAAAAGGTCTAGGCAGGAAGGCCTCTAGATGACATGGCCCGGACTTCTCGACCAACCTGCAAATAAGTTTTCGTTAGGAAACTCCACTTCTACCCATGAGGGTTCCTGCACAGAGTTGGAGTGGAGCAGGGTGAGCCAACCTGAGTTTGAGGTGGTTCAGACAGCGGTGATGTCAGCAAGGACACCAGGGCTTTAAGACAGTTGGCCAGACATCTACATATGTGTAGTAGGCATAGTGTAGACATGGGGAATTTCAAGACCCCAAGGAAGGTGGGCACTGACTCGGGAGAATCTGTTTCTCTCTTTCTTTGCCCCACATCATTTCCAGGACAGGAATTTTCCACGATCTGTACTGAGTCTGTTCTCACCAAATTTCCCTCTTTTTCCTGGTAGCCCTGTATATTAAACCCAGTGGCCAGAGGGTCTTCCACTCATGTGAGGCAGGCGCCGCAGCCCGTCTGCACTTGGCATCCAATCCTTCCCCTCCACCCCCCCCAATTTTGGAAGTCAGCGTGGTTTTACAGAGACTTGGGGGATGTTTTTGGAATTTTGTGCTCCCCTGTGTTCCTGTAGGAACGCAGGCAAGGCTGAGAAATACTAGGTAGGCAGGAATGGAACGCTAGATTTTGTTAGGTGTAGGGTGGACTTGAGGCAAGGCTTGTCCTGGCTGAACCCTGGCTGATGGGGCCATGTGTCCTTCATTCCCGCACTAGAGAGAGAATTTTGAAGTCTCATCTGGACTTTCCCTGGGAAAGTAAGCTGGCATTGCCGTTGCTTTATTCCTGCAACATCACCCAGCACAGTTGGCACGCCTTCGTGTGACTTCTGTCTTCAGAGGATGTAACCCCAAGCTCCTCAGGTGCTGATCGAGAGTGCTGTAAATGGATAGGGGTCCCCTTTGTGCAGCCAGTGCTCTGGATGCCCAAGCCCTGGCTAGTGGAGGGCATATAACTACTGTTCTTCCATGCTTGTTTAATATTTCATGGCTGTAATAAACCTGTCTTCCTTGCCCGCCTCCCGACATAAAACCCCAAGTAGCACACATCTGCAATTATACATTTCCACTAAATATTAATAAAGGACAACGGATTTTTAAGGGACTGATGCTCAGTACAGTTGAACTTGCCATCCTCTGTGCTCCTGCATTTTTTCCTGTTGTGTTTTGATTTTTTTAAAAAAAATTTAAATACCAGTGCATTCCAACATGCGACATTTGCTTATAGTTACACACAACTTGTGCTGATGGGAAAGTCATTCCTCATGTTAGCCTTCTCTCATAGAAATTCATGTAGATTTCTTGTGAGGCCCCTTCAGACCGGAAGTGAGAGGCTGTTGAAATGCACTCCTGTTTTATTGAGGGCTCTAGGAAAGGAGCGTGGGCGGCTTAATCTCATTTCTCTTTCTAGCAATGAAATTCTATGATTCCTGATATGATTTTGTTTGCCTGACAGAGGTATTTAAATTTCTACAAAGAATCTTAATCGGCCCTGAGAATACAGCTGCCCTCACCAACAAGCTACTTGATCCACTCTCCTGATATAAAATACACATCTTTGGTACGCCATGCTAGGGGACCAGATGAAATGAGAGGAGTGAAATCCTCCTCAGGGTGAAAGGGCCGGCGGGAGGGGATCAGGGGCTCCTCAACACCGTGGAATCCAGTGAATCACTAGTGGCCTGTTCCTCTCCACTCGAGTGACAATAACATTGGATTGTGTTCCTTGCCCAGGGAGCAATCTGCTTTGCCAAAACCGTTTAGGAGATAAATACTGTCAGTTAGGAATACTGTATTTACCTCTGTTTGGCTAATTTTAGAGATGAAAAGCCTGCAGCTTTGTATAATGGGATCAAATATCTGGGGAGTGTGTGGGGACACGCCGGCAACAGGAGAAACGGCCAACTCCTCCCTTGCCCAGGGGTCCTCATCTATCGTGCTTTCCCGTAGCCAGCATGCCTGCCTGCTTTCTAGCCTATTTGGCTAATTCTCTCGTTTGTTCTTTGGCCAGGAGGAGCTGGGAAGAGCCCAGCTTCCTCCCCTTCACTTAACTCAGCATCTGTCTGGTGAGGGTGGGTTTGTTAGTACGAATCTATTTTTAGGCATGTCTTGGGTAGATAGATTTGAGTGTGGGATTTGTTTGCTCATGGCAGACATGTTGATAGATCCCTTAGCGTGTGATGGAGAGGAGTTTCCTGGCCTCCTCATATACACCGAGACCAGATGAGAGAGTCAGGGGGCTTGCTGGATAGTGTAGCCCAAGTGGTGTTCAGTGTTCTGGCCAGTCTTGGAGCGGCAAGCAAAGGAAAACAGACCTCTGGTGACTTCTGCCTGCACCCCGACAGGCATGCGTCTATGGGGGCTTCCCTCACTCAGATATGTAGCTTCTTGTCCGTTGTCCCATTCGACTTTCCCAAAAGTGAGCTAAAATCCTCATCTGGGTGGCCACAGCTGGCAGCTTCTGTTTCTGTA